ACAAAAACCTTTGAAAAGTCAATCAACTCTAACGTTGAATCTTATGAAAGAGCAAAAAGTTCTACCGACAGCCAGAGTCAACTTACCACCCAGCATGTCGGTAACATCAACAGAGAACGACGAGTTTCAGAAATATTCGCCTCCGCTTCAGTCGGAAAATGTAACGAAAACTACGACGTCAAAACCGAATCTACTTACACGCTCAACAGAAAGCAAAAACCCGAACAACGACAGCCAAAGAGAAGCCCAGCTTTCGAGAAAGATGACCAGTGGAGTGAAACTGAACGAAACGTCTGTATGTCCATCAAAAAGCCGCCTTCAATGTTCTCCACTGGATTTGAAGTTGGATTCAGCGGTAAGCTTGTCAAACCAGACAACCGAGAAGCAAACATGCCCACGGATACCAGACGAGATCCCTCAAGTACCTACTGCGTCAAAAGTGAAACCGACTGTACCTTTTGCGGCGGAATTGAAACGCGTTCTTCAGGAACGAAGGCTCAAGAGCCAAGAAGGTACGACAGTGGAGAATGCTTCCAAAAACAAGAACTCAGTAGAGGAAAAACAAGTGCCTCATCCAGCAGAATCGAAAACGATACCAATTCTGAATTATCAATCCACAACCAACGAAGATTCTTATCAAACTCTACAGGACACAGAAACAGTCCTGGTCTCGACGACTCAACACCAAATCATGCAGAAATTGTCATTCAACGACGCCGAAATGGACCATGGGACCACCTATTGGCCAAAACAATGCAGACCAACAACTTCAATACCGATACCAGCAGCACGCAAATCTGTACCGACGATGAAATATCTCATTCCTCAAGATACAGAACCAGATGGAAAACTCAAGAAGTTCAGTCACTCTTCGATTCTAGTTCGTCGGTTTACAGACCTAGATCGCCAGCCGTCATACATGAAGAAAACCAAAGCAACGCAGGCACGGTCGACATGCCTCCTCCAGGAAGGGTTGCAGCAAGAGTCTCCGCCATGGAAAACGTCGAACCAACGGCTGTGCGATACCGGAATTTCAACGCAGCAACAGCCTCAAATACTATTAGGAGAAGAACAGAAGCGCAAATTGCACAATTTCGAGAATGGCGTCCACATTCTGTTGTCGAAACAAGGAATACCGTTCCAGACCTTCTGCTACCAAAGATCACTCAGAAACGTCGATCAGTTACCAAACATGAAGGCTATAGTTCGTCCGTCTTTGATGTACCGAACACCGATTCAGCTCCACAAATCAAAAGCCGACAAAAGGTTACAAAATTTACGATCGATGCGGGATTGGAGCATACCCAGGACAAAAAAGAACAACAAATGGCCAGACCATTATCCATGTGGTGTGGGACCGGAACGAACAAGTATGTTGCAGGTCCATATGGTCGACATGTAACTGAGACACCGTATGGCCGAAACTCAACTACTGACTGCAGTGACCTGTCAGATTCATCGATGAACCAAAGAGCATATCATTATAAGTGGAGGTCAAGCTGTGATGCACCACCAGTTAACTATGGAAAAAATGCGTCTTACGTCCCACACGTGTTGGTCAACGAATTTCGCCCGCTTCCGCCTCCACCGCCGCCTACCCGTTATTCATCAGTTCATGTGAGGACGTCCTGAAAGCAGAAGTGTTTTACTTCTTTTGTTCTATAAGACAATATACATTCCTGTTTAGAACCGGTAATATGGAAGTATTACGTTATTAGTCGGACAAAAAAGTCTTTTTTTGCTCAACTGTTTACTTCACGTTTCTATAAATTTTAATTTCAAGAGTTTTCCGTTTTCTGTTTTGCTACAAAATAGCTCCCGCATTGTATATGAAAAAATCCTAAAGATTGAAGTTTTTTCCCCTCTCCTTTTATTGTTTTTTTTTCTTTCTTCCAAACTGCCAGACTTTAACAAATTTGTATTCTGATCATGGCAATAAAAAATTATACGTTTTTTCTGCATTTTTTATCTTGACGAATATCTTGGAAATGATGATATAGTTGTGCTGCCGTGGAATAAGCAGTATGTCTATATATATAGATTTACAAATAAGGTTTTAAATTTCATCCACTGTCGTTTTGTAGTCATTGTTTTATTCTACACAGTGGTTCTGTAAGTTAAAGAAAACAGTGAATCAAATTTGGCATGTCGAAATGATATGTGATAGACGTTTGATGCCAACAGTATCGCTCAATAATTATTTCGCTCATATATGCTGCTTGTATTCGACAAATTTTTAATTTGTTCTTCATTTTCGTTATCAGTTTTCTTCATGTTTGTTACTGCACTGGTTTTTGTGCATTAAAAAAGTGAGAGCAAAAGTTATTAGAATTTTAAAACTAACTGGTCTAAATTATTTTACCATAGGTTCAATAATCGTGCTGATTTAGGACTGTTTATTGCCGTCATTTGGGTTTATTACTGTATTATTTGTTCTTGTATACCTATATATGCATATGTAAGTTCTTGAGTACGAGGAAATATTATCAGTATTTTTAAAAATGTTTGTTTGAATAAAATTTGAAAACACAGATGTGAACTTTTTATTAGCAAAAGACTGTGAAGCGGCAAACCGTGAATAAGTCCTAATGAAGTTATTGCTATTAAAATAAACAAACCTTTTTTATTGGCCACTTTTGAACCATCGTATCTTACTGTTTGTAATTGTCGGTGCTAAAAGAAATCTTACAAGATCTTGAAAATTAATTCCAAGTTGTTTTTTTCAGTCATTTCAACTTACAATTATCTTCTTCTTTAGTTAAGAGCTATGTTATGCAGCTTGGAATTTTCCTTACAACAGCCTAATAACGCAAAATCAACTACAGCGAATCACTGTTTTGAAAACGTAGTTTAAACTGGAACTAATTTGTAAATTTTTTACTTTTTTTTACTCTACAACTTCTTTATTATTATCACTGTCGCTAAATTTAAGCGAAATGGCCAAAAAGTGCAAATCATGACCAAACCAAAAGGTTTGGCCAAATATAAACAAGCCGATTCAAAACTGTAAGTTGAGAAACAGTCGCAACAAAAGAGGAAAGGGTCAAAAAAGTGAGTCAGCAAGTCACCTCTGAAAGTTACATTAAAAAACAACTTACTCAAACTGGACGGCACAACTGGAATCTCGAGTCTCAAGTTACGATATCACATAAACTGACAAGTTTACATGTGCGTATTGATGACTAAGTGAATTTTCACTTTTTTTTTTCATTTTGTCATTTTTCTTTAAATCGTTAGAACCTTTAGAAAATAGTGAATTTCTGCTTCGATAATTCTGTGCTGTCTAAGAGTCTTTCATTAATTTATGTCTCTTTATAAGCATCAAAAGATTACAAAAAATTTGTTTTTCTGCTCAGATATTTGTCAATTTTGGAATCAAAACTCACAAAAAGCTATTTGTTTTGTATTGAATGTTATCCGCGCTTAGGTGTCCAGTTAGTTGCTTCAAGTGTGAAGATTTTAATAACGCAACAAATTCACCTAACTTCAACATCATTCAAACGATGCGCAAAAAGTCTGTTATAATTAGCAGAAAAAACTATTATCTCTATATGGCACTTCATTCTCTTACTAAAAAAAAATAAATGTCGGAAGGAATTCAATGCTTAGTTACCATAATTATGATTAATGACCTTAAAATAATTTAAACAAGCAGTTTACTAGTCATTATTTTGAGCACAATGTTTTCTATTAAATTTCTACGGTCAACCAAGTAACAATTACAATCAAGTTATGATACTCAATTGAAGCTTTTAAGATGGTTACTCCTTGTTGAGCATTGGAAGGACCAATATTCTTTGCCTTCTCTAAAACGCAATACATTACAATATCATCGTTGTGAGACGGTTTCTGTTGCAGCTGGATATCTTAAATTTTAAGTAGAAATTCATTAAAAATTTATTTGCTTTAACTCTATAGAGTATCTAGTAATAGCATTATGCTATGTGAAAATTACCGTCTACGGTGCGAAACAGACTTCTATAGACTATTGGTTCATTTCAGTAAGTGCTGCATTTTGATCAATCAAATTCAGTATTTCAGAAACCTCTTTTAGAAAATGTTCTTTCTTTGTTCATTTCTCTATACCACTAAATTGTTTAACGATGCCTGCCACAAATCCCCCTTTGTGTTAAAAAATACTGCTGTTTGTTTATTGCTCTGCTATAGTTTACACTTTTTCATTTTAATTCCTTTAGATCTGTAGTAAGGAATTTGTAGTTCCTTACAGCATTGTGAATGTAACTGTCAAATTTCCTGCACGAACGCAGCTCACAGTTTTCAAAAAAATTGTTAGTTGCAAATATAAAAGAAAACTTTCTATACTGGCCTTTAATAAAGCTAAGTTAGCGTTGCATTTTATGATCTGAAGTAAAAGAAGTTTAAGTCGCAGTGTACACGCATTACCTACCGCTTCATGAATTTTCCGTGAACACATCGTAATAATAGAGAAATACGCTACATTTTTTCCTTATTGTGTTGCTAAGTTTCTTCGCATAATGTCTAAGGGCATCTTTATGTAAAATTTTCTAACAATTTTTATTCGGTTCTCGCTTTAAATGATATTTATGACAGTTATTAATACATTTTATTAAGTCGAAATAGTATGATACGGGTTTAAAATTCTTCTGTTTTATAGATACATTTTTAAACTATGGTAAAATTGTTAGCAAGATAAAGAGCGAATAATGTGACAGTTTTTTGCCATATATACATATAGACCATATACAAAATTCACTTTTTTCATTGCAAGCGGCTAAGTGCATCTTATCGACTTTAGCTTAAGATGTGACCGATGAGCGACTTTCTGCAACCCTTTTACTTGTAGTCGTCGTCGACGTAGTGTTCTCAATTCTTTACTCAACCACCTGGATGAATAGTCTGCGTCCGTTGAATTGGTAGTAAACGGAAGCTCCTGAAATTTACAGAAGTATTACACAGAGCAGAAGTGGGTAAATCACAGAATCTTTGTTAACAAACTGTTACTTTTCCGCTATCCGTTACTATACGGATGCTAATTCTAAATTTACGGAATAAACAGTCACCAAAAGCGCTGCAAAAGACGGACGATCTTCAACCCGTTTACACAAACACTGGTTAACGAAGTTGCAAAAGTTGCTGGAGAATATGCGTGAATCAAGCCGTGGCGGATCTGCATACAAGATTTCGTAACAAACAGTACACCAGTTTCCTTGATAGGGGTTACACTTGTTCGCAATTTCTACCAAGGTGATGCCCAAACTCCAGACGTCCGCTTTAGTGCTATAGGAGCAATCTCCGCGAACTCGTTCAGGCTGAAAAATGTTGAAGGTATATTTAGGATTGAAAGTACCTATGTAGATATACCAACACTTTGGTAGGAATTGTGTAAGGTTTATTAAAAGCTAGAAATGCTCACCGCTAAGTATGCAATACTCCCTTTTGTTGGCTAACATATACAATTTGAATCTTCGAAAGTTCCGGCAATACCAAAATCGCAAATTTTTACTTCGCCTACTTCATTGACCAAAATGTTCGATGGCTTCACATCACGATATGTTATCTTCTAAACAGACTGCTGACTAATGAGATTTGAGTTAATGTGCTTCACTTCTTCAGTCTTTGTAACGGCAATTTTTAATTACCAGCTTATACAGTTTTTCATTTAGATTTAATTTAAAACTTTTTGTTTTGAGAAATGTATCCATCAAATCGTTTTGGCATAAGGATATTACCAGCTGGTTTAAATACTCTAAGCCATGAAGCACCGATTTGGACACTGTAGAAATAACTGCTTCTGGAAAATCAATATCCTGTTGTAACAGTTTATCTATGCTGGTAACCATTAGCTCCATAAATAATCTAGCTTCTGCCTGTAAAATGTGACAACATCAATTTGAAAGTTGCTGACAGGGACAAATTTGGTAACAATGGAAACTTGTTATGTTTAGAGCCGACACAATTATACATTTTCATGGGTTAATGTGTATTCACTACCAAAATTACCTCAAATATATGATAACCATAGAAGTTAACAATATATGGACAGTGTATTGATCGTAATGGCACTTCAATATCCATGAAAGTGTGATAGTCTTCCTCTTCATCACCGGTTAATCGTCTAATCTGAAATAAAAAAAATTAGCTGATTTTCTGCGGTGAGAAACTGGCTGAAGAAGTACGTTTATTAACTATTCAGTTCGACATAATAGCAATTTTTCTTAGTTAGTGTGCTCATTCGTAGTTACTTTTCCTATATGTTGGACTTCACACATATATACCTTAAAAAGAAACCTGGAAAAAGAGACTAAACTCAAACCAATCGGATGAAAACTGACGCTGTTAATTTTTCTCCTCTTTTTTTTACGAAATATAAATTAGGTAACCATAAAAGACAGCTAATAAAAATCAACATTTTTGAAGAACATTTTTTTATTATCATTAAGCGTCACTGATTTTATTTTTATAAAATTATAATTAGTAAAGACTGTAGCTGTTTGAACTGTAGCACCAGCCAAACAGTAATTCGTGACGTCATGAAGAATATAAGATAAAAAAGTTTCCAAATAAAGAATACTGCCAAAAATTGTTGCACAATTGCTTCACTAAAAAAGTGATAAAAAAGCAAAAAAAAAAAAATTGAGCAAAATCTCTTCCTTTTTTTTTGCTCTATTTCAATACACTAGGAGAAAATTGTCTAGTTAATGTTTTTATAAAATTAAGTTTCTATAATCGATAATTTTTGAAGTTTGTTTGGATATGAAGAAAAAAAGATGATAAAAGCAGCTTAAACCAATATGAACGTCATACTATTATTTATGATAAAAAGCTGCGGTGAAAATTTGATAAACAACTAAACATGAAGGACACGCAGTTTTTAGCTGTTCGATAATCGACTATTCTAAACATCAGTTCTCTTCAACTAATCAAAATCAATCTTTTCGGTCACAGTGCAAACAGTTGCCCAAAAAGAATTCTTAGTGAGATAGCAGATCGACTGAAACTGTTCAAACATTTTACGATTGCATAGGTGGTTGACTTTTATAACAGAACCACGTCTTTCAACAAATCAAACAAAGAACTTATGGCTATTTTAAGCGATTCAAATACTTGTTGGTGATACAGTATATTTTTTCTTTTTAAAAAGTTGAACCTATCAAGGTACCTTTACTGCCATTTTTCGCCCGGCACTTTTCAAGTACGCCACGTTTACCAAGCCAAAATTTCCTTGACCTATTTGATCGCCTAATATAACCTCATCCGTTGCACAATTGTACATTTTTCCATCTACATACAGAAAACCAGAAGTTGTGGAAAATTTTCGACTTGTTTCCTTAGCCTAAAATAATTTGTAGTGCTGAATGCGCGTAACATTTTATAAACTTATTTTAGCTTGGGAAAACTGTTGAAGAGCAGATTAATTACTGTAAAAATGAAGACAGTGACATTAGCTATTACCGCAACCATGAAAAGATTTTTTCATACTTTGAAATTAAAGGTAGTTCTTGTAACGTAGAATTGATGCAATCTGGAAACACGAGATAAATTCATCCTAATTGTCGGCTGATTAGTCTTTAAGCCAGTTTAATCACACTAGTAGGGGCAGCTTTCTTTCTTAAAAAAAATAGAATAAAATGGTCAATATAAGTAAGAAATTTATTTAGCCATAGAAATTGACAGAGTAAGAGGAAAATTTAGAATTACTTTAAGAATATGACGAATTTTGCAGATATATAAACAGAAAGCAATTTGCAAATATTACAGAAAATATAAAACGCTAAATTTACGTTTATAATCATTTATAAACAGTATGTCAAAAATTTTAAAAAAAGGCTTTTTTAATATGATTTTTAAAGTGACTATCAGTTACTGTTAACGACTGTTGATAAGTGTCTACCAATATAATTGTTTTAAGCATTTCATCAGTTGTTTATTTAGGGAAAGCCAAATATTCAGAACGAGCGAGACATAAAAAGTTCTCACTGTACTGACGTCATCGTTAATGCACGTTGTTTTTAGAGGGTTTCCCACTATGATAAGCTTTGTCGTAAAAACCTCAACTATTCTGTCCATACTACTATTTAAAGTATTTCAAGTATGTTCTGAATAAAGTCTGTCGCGTGGAGCGACCGGAGGGCGTCGATTGAGATTCGGCGGAGGCATTTAGCAAATAGCGATCGGCACGTATCTACCGTCTAGATCGCCGCTTAGTGTAAATTGTCCAGCTACAGTCCACCTGCTGACGGGAAATACGTGCCGATTGCTACTTGCCAAATGCCTCCGCCGGATCTCGATCGGCGTTCTTCGGTCGCTTCACGAGACAAAGTCTGTTCAAAACATTCTCATACGTTTTTTTCATTAAGTACGTGGCAGTAAGCAAGAAAAAACGTATGTGTCCGAATACAATGATTAATTCTTTCTAAAATTTGATACCTCCTAAGAAGGTATACAGTTATTATAAAAAGTTTTTTTAAAATTAACATCAAATGTCAATAGTTTTTGAGAAACTATTGCACTTCTGCAACGTGTTGCAGTTAAAAACGCATCATTGTGAAAATTTGGTCAAAATAACAAAAAAAACCTATTAAAACTATCAGAAACATAATTATGACAGCAATCAATAGAAGGTAAATGAAACAGCCATTCAGTATAATTCATCCAGTTTCATCATTCCTCGAGCTTCAAATTAAGTTTGTTACTGCCAACTTTGTCTGAACAGCGGAGAATAAGGCAGAACAGCTTCAAAGCAGATCAGATGAACTGTTAAAAACAGTACTCTCGTTTTGAAATCACCAGAGAACGAAGACCAATCAAGCTTAACAACTGACGTGTCATCAAACAAGTTTAGACGATAAGCAGCACGGGGTGTGTGACCGGTTTTCCTGCCCCAACACCAGACTTTTGATGCGAGCCCTCACTAAGCATATAAACCCCGCTACTAGCAACTTCATTGCTGTCTAAGATGCCTATGTTTAGTCGACGTTGATAAACTTCAGAATTTTTTTTCGCACTTCAAAATACCATCACTTTTTGCTGTTTATATCTACAAACCCTGACATGAAAAAATGCTCGTTATATAAAGCGCTTTACAAAGAATTGAAGAGAAAAATTATAAATCAGTTATAAAGTTATAAATTAGTAAGGTTTTGAATTATCTATGACCCTACTAAAATTGTCGTTTCAAACAAATAAAAAGCTGTATAAGTCCTAAGCATATAGAATTTTATAAGACAAAGTATCTAATGTTTTGAAAGCTTTATGGGCTAATGGGTAATTACCGTAAACCGCAATGGCAAAAGATCAGTGCGGTGCGGTTTAGTTTATCGATTATTCGTTTAGTGAAAGTCACTCAAAGAAGGTCAGTTAACCTAAGAAAGATATAGAAACTCACCTCTTCTTATCCGCAAAAAAAAAAACTAGGTAATTTTTAAAAGATAGCCTTACAGACTAATTTTCTTTTAAAATTATTTAAATTGACTAAAAAATAAAAAAAAAGATAGAATAACTTGTCAGCATTATGTCTATTGATACCATCAAATAATGCCGTTTTCAGAAAGTAAGATAATTTTTTTTTTAACTTGGTTTGGCAGAATACTGCAAAATACTATTCATTAATCTTTGTAAATTTTGTTTTGTCAATTTTTTGCCAATTTCATTTAGTACGTCTAGCGCTTACAGTGCTTTTGCCGAACATGAGGTTGAAGTTGTCAACTGAAAAAGCTTGTTTTATTACCGTTAAGATCAGCTTCTGGTTGCTTGCACTCTATTTAAAGATCTTAAGAAAAGCAGACGACCTTTCATACTGAAGTCAATAAGGCGCCGAAGGACAGGATACTGAAGTGTTGAAAAAGTTGGGTTCAAAGTTATCTTGTCATGCATTTAGAGCGTTGAGTAGTAAATTTTTTGTCATGTACAAATTTGTTAAAAAGAAGGGTCTGTTTTTATTGTCTGTGTGCAACTTAACAACAACAATAATATTTTATTCATTCATTTGAACATACGTTTGTTTGAAACGTTAATCAAATTTACCGATATCTACTTTTTTTTTTTTTTTTTTTTTT